AAAATTATTTTAACCAGCATATGTTGTTGTTGTTGTTGTTGTTTTTTTTGTTCAGGTAAAAAATGTTCCAGAGTGAAAACAAATTAAAAAGAAAAAAAACAGTAACCATTTGATTGTTGAATTCTAAACTCTAATTGTTTGTGTTGTTGTTTTTGCAAAAAGTAATACAAAATTTAATTAAATTAAATACTGAAAATAAAATAATTTTCAATTTTAGGGCAAAATCATAGTTTAAAACAGAAATATTTCCAACATTGCGACGTAACTAATTATCCCGGTACCGAAACAATTTTGTGAACCGTTACACCCCTAATATATATATATATATATATTCAAAACCAAACATTTTTAAAGGGCCATGAGAATTAAATGGGAACTGTATATGCAATCTCAGTACTACATTTTATACATAAAGCTAAATATATCCCATACAGAGATATAAAGGTATATAGATAGATAAAAAGATGGATGTATGGATGGAAATGTACATATTTAGTACATTTACATATTGGATGGATAGAAATTCACGTTTATATATTTACATATTGGATGGATAGATAGATAGATAGATAGATATATGTTTACTCAATTCTGCTATTATTATTCTCATATATGACACTCTGGATAAAAGCATGCCAAATGAATAAACAATAATTAAATAATATACAAAAATAAAAAAACAATCAAATAAAATAATGCATTTGTGTAGCTCCAAGAAAACTTTTCTGTCCAGATAATATGCACAGACTCTCTTAGACTCATAACCCAATCAAGCAGCACACAGTGAGGTTGTATATGTGAGTGTGAAGGTGAGAGATGAATGGCTGCGCGTCACTGTGAGCTCAATAGTTTCTCCTCTTAGAATGGAGAAACATTGATAAAGAATAATCCGAGGGAACAGGCAGTGCACTGGTGTATTCCTCCTTTATGAAAACCCTCCTACACTCATCAGCTGCTGACATGACGGATGGAGTTTAACACACAGAACAAAGTTGGAGGAAAGAAGGATGCAGTTATCCTGACTCATACTGTACCCTCATACAAACTGAACTTTTGTACATGAAAAACTGATAAGCATTGCATATTAAAAAATTCCATATTAATTCCACATTAATTCATAAACATGTTCCATACAGCAAAAAAAAAAAAAAAAAGCTATTTTTTCTGGCCAAAATATATTTTAAATATTTCAAGCACAAGAAAATACATTTTCAATCATACAGTAGCTTACATTTAGGCTTTATGCATTATTTATTTTTATTTAAATGTGTTATATGTTAAAAAAATAAAATGAGTTGTCCATAACAAATGAAGGATTATAGACAACAAAGTTTTTCTTCAAATGTGACATATGTTAATTTTCTTGGATTGAAATTTATGGGGGGCAAAATTCAATTTCACATTCCTTTATATATATATATATATATATATATATATATATATAACAAAAACAAAAAACTTATTAATATCTTTTGAACAGAATTCACACATTTCCACATAGGAACCCGATTACAATCTCTCAGTATCAGGCACATCCCTTTGCTTCTTACTTCATCTATACTGCCATGCTTTTGAATGACAGACTTCATTAACAGCTTTTGGAGCTACTTGGGACCTCATGCGTTGAAGAGCTCTTTTGGCACTGTGTGCTTTTCCCCAGTTGGTCCCCTATGGTTTATCTAATCACGCAGATGCAGACAAACCGGTGGGGGCAATGCCCCCTGTGCCACTATCGCTGCGGGCAAGGTTGGGCAGGAGGAGGTGCTGCCAGGCAGCCAACAATTTCCCCAAGACTTTAATCTTGGCACTGATTCAATTGTCTGTCCTGCTTGTTTTTCCCCATTAACAAGTTTATTTGGATGCTCCTTTCATGAAGGCTTTGTAAAATGAATGTGGACATTATTATTCATTATCTAACATTATTTGCCTTTTTTTTTATGTATGCATGTGTGTGTGTATATATATATACACATGCATACATAAATAAATAAATAAATATATATATATATGTAAAACACAAATTCAAAACTTATAAACTGCATATTAAAACATGCATGTTCAGCACTGGTACACAATATCGAAACACTTAATTTTACAGTGTCCATTATTACATGATGCTATTCTTAATTAATTTAGCAATAACAATGTGCAACATAGACACTACTGTATGATGTAAAGTGCAAGCAAACACTGCATATGCAACATTCATATACAGTGTAATCCAGCAGTTACGAAATGAAACCGCATGAAAGGCTCACCTGTGTGTGTCTGTGATGTTGCGGTGTGTCAGAGTGAAGGCAGTCTGTGCTGCAGTGAGCGCATCTGTACACGCTCACAGTGTGCTCACCATCAGCACCACAACACGCTGCCTGTGACGGATGAAGACACATGCACCGTTACTGACGTGTGAAGCTGTGAGTCCAAGCTGAAGGTTTCACATTACCGCAGTGTCGCGACCGCCTGACTGCAGTGCTGCTGATGCAGGGACTCCAGTGAGCTCAAGGGTATCGATCACTCTTATGTAATTCAGCTCTCATAGCGCAGAACAAGAAACAAGATTTTGGTGTTGGTTACCCTCTGGCAGTCTATGTTTCTGATGCACACATAATTCACTGTGATACCTTATTATACGTAATTTCAGTGCGTTATATTTAGTCCCAAATCATTTTGATTTAATTCATAATGCATTATGTTTACCTATTCATGGTTCTCCTCTGCAGTGAATGGGTGCCGTCAGAATGAGAGTCCAGTCCTCTATCCACAATATTGCTTTCTCCGATGAAAAGGTGGTCTGGTCTGAACCAGGAGAGAAATCTGCACAGATCAAGCACCGTTTACAAGTGAAAACAGTTCCAAACTGTTTTAAACAGATATGTGGGTGGATTTTGATGTGAGAGACTTTTTCACTGGAGGAAGCATTATTATGGATTATGGACTCGCATTTTGGCCAGAAGTGAAGGTTTGAAGTTAAATACGTCTTACTGATGGATTTGTTTCTTACAAATACGCAGTTTTGGCTTCACAAGGCATTACTTGCTGGACTGGAGTGGTGTGGATTACTTGTGGATTATTGTGATGTTTTTATCAGCCGTTTGGACTCTCATTCTGACGGCACCCATTCACTGCAGAGCAAGTGATGGAATGCTAAATTACTTCAAATCTGTTCCCATGAAGAAACAAACTCGAAAATGTGTACATTTTCAGCAAAAGCCTAGATTTCTGTGATTGTTAGCAGTATAAAAAAAAGTGTTACCAGTAACAAATATGAGGTCAGGTAGCTTTTTATTAGCTTTCAGAAACAGATTTATATTTTCTCATAAAAAGAGCTGTCTGCTTAACTAGCAAAATCCTAGATGTTTCATGTTTTGAAAGGATTCCTGGATGCTCTTTCTAGTTAATGAACAAATCATGCATGAATTAACTTTAATTCAATGCATTAAACCCAATGGTGTATTTGGCTGGAAATGTCAGTGTTTCAGTAAAATACAGCACTCATTTTGTTGGATTTGGATTTAATTTTGACCTAACTTTGATTAAACTTCTGGACCTTTATCATTTAACGTTGATTAAGATTATTCTATCTAGACACACAGAACGCTTTTTGTTAGGGATGCCTCTGGTAATCATGCTTAAAAAGTGCAATTTTCATAGAAATACAACTAAAGCGCATATATCGAAGGGAATGTTTAACCACAAATGAGAACTCTCAGATCATTTGCTCGTCTTTATATTGCTCCAAACTTTCAAACTTGTTGTCAGGTTTCAAATACGACAAAAACATCCCTCCTGTGGTACTGTATGTACCATAAAAGTAGTTCAGATGATTCCTGTATTTTTGCAGCATAAATCACCTTGCACTTTTGTTGCATGGAAAAGAGCAGCAGATTTTCTGTGTAACGTCGCTTTTTGTGTTTCACAGAAGAAAATATGGGTTCGGAACAACACGAGGGTGAGTAAAAGCCAGGTTTTGAGTGAACTAATCCTTTCACAATCCAGCTATTCTCACAAATAGCCAGCAGTGGAAAGAACATTTTGTTCAAACACTGCAAGCATTTCATAACGGCTGTTTTATAACAGTGAGGAGGTCTCTGGTGCTCTTTCCAGCTAATCATCTCAGAAGTGCGTGACAGAAGTACAGTAATCCTGAAAATGCACAGAAATGAGAAGATGAATGCAAACCGAAGTTAAAACCTATTTGACTCCATATAAGCACATCTTTGTGAATGATAAGCAGAGTACAGAAACATACTCAAAACAAGCAGACATTTAGTTCCAGGTCAACAGTGACTGCTCAGAATGGAAAACGAGCACATTGCTGTATGCAATTACAAAGGACAATATTCCTCATGTGCAGAGTACAGTACAATTATCATCTCAGAATATTTATATTTCAGCTATATTAATAATTCAATTATACAAGACAACTATATTGAATTATCGTGTATTTTTTGTTGAAATGTTTTTCACCTTTTTATTTTTTTTTTAAGAAAATCCTCATTATGACTAACATCCAATTATAATCTCAGAAATAAATATGGTTATTTAATCTTTAAATCAAATTTTGTGTAAAAATATTTAAACTTTCACCTAGGATTATAAAAAAGTTCTATAAATAAATACAAATAAAAATCCTCATTAGTTCCAGAGTACAGTCCAATTAATAATAATCTCAGAAAAATAAATAAAAATATATTAATTCATTGTTTTAAATCAAATTTAACTTCAACCTTTATTTGTCTTTTTTTTTTTAATCCTTATTTCCAGAGTAGTCCAATAATAATCTCAAAAAATAACATGGTTATTTAATGACTTATTTATCTTTAAATCTAAATTTGTGTAGAAATATTTGAACTTGTACCTATAAGTATAATATACAAAAAAAAAGTAATGTAAGCTTTTTTCACGTTTTTACATTCAAACTCTTTGAATTCAATAAAAAAATGAGTCAAACAAGAGATGAAAAGATTATAATATAATAAAAAAGTTATTAAACACAAAGTTCAAGTTGAGAGCATTGCATTTTGGGACACATTTAGCAACACAGCATTTACGAAAAGATCACCTGGACACTGTAATTAATTCTGAAGTTTATTCGTCCCATTTCAATTAAGAATTTCAATTCATCAAAAGGCCTTATAAAGAGTTTATGGTTCGCAGAAACACTGATTGCTTACAGGAAAGATTCTCTTCTAAATAAATCCCATCAATCCACTGAAAGAATCCGAATGGTGACAGATTGCATCTTCGTGTGTTGTGCCGTCTTCGTACGTCCTACTATTCACGTCACAGTTTAAGGCCCAAGGGTACGTGAACGTAATATCAAAACATTTCAATTCTATTAATGTTTATGGCAAAACATCATAATGCAGTCATGTTTTGTTGGGTTTCCGACGTGTGGAGGAATTATGGGACAGAATGGACCTCAGGTGATAGTTTCATCATCAGAAATGCAGTCTCTTCATGCACAAGCATCCTTCATAGTACCTTAATCAATAGTCTGTTGCAAATCATCATGTTTCAATATCAAAAAAACGTACATCAGACGAGATCTTTCTGTCGCAATCACGTCGCAATCTCAGCTAATCTATGACCCGGCGAATGCACACACACTTGTTCTCACACACACACACACACACACACACACACACACAGAAAATATTATAAAATGAACGAAAACCCCAACAAATACACACATGAAAACATCAATCATGTTCCCATGATCTGAACACAAAAGTAAACGACAACAGAAAAACTGACAGTGAGACCCAGAGAGAGTCAGCCGGGGGAAATCCCCCATAATGCTTTGGGCCTGACGCGCCGTGGCCCTTTGTTTCCAGTGATGTCATCATTCAGAGTCATCTTTTTCGGTGACCACAGCAGTGAGTGCAGACGCCCCTCGGACCCTAAAACATCAGCAGTAGAGGGCGAGGGACGGATGAACCCTCGGCACGAGAGCTCCGGCGCGGGGCGAGAGAGAGAGAGAGACGGCTGACGGGGAGCTCTGGGGGTCGGGGCGGAGGACAGGTGGGGCCGGGAGTCGTCCCGTAGAGGCTAGCGGTTGTTTTTGGCCGCCTCTTTGGCTGCTATGATCAGCGGCGTGAGGCTGGACAGAGGCTTGGCCGCTTTCAGGAACTGGTGCTGCGGGGAGAAAGACAGAGACGTCACTTCTGCTCACCGAGGCTGCATTGATTGCACCAAAAATACAGTAAAATCCTGAAATATTATTACAATTGTAAACAGCTGTTTTCTATGTGAACATATCGTAAACTGTAATTTATTTCTGAGATCAAAGCTGTATTTTCAGCATCATTACTCCAGTCTTCAGTGTCACATGATCTTTCAGATATCATTCTAATATGCTGATTTGCTGCTCAAGAAACATTTCTGATTATCATCAATGTTGAAAACAGTTGTGCTGCTTTTATTTTTCAGGATTCTTTAATGAATAGAAAGTTCAACAGAAAAGCATTTATTTGAAATGGAAATCTTTTGTATTTCTATGCAAAATCTTTACTGTTACTTTTGATCAATTGAATGCATCCTTGCCGGAAATTTTTTCAAATTTTATTTATAAAAAAAAAAAAAAAAAAAGAATATTAGTCTGACCCCAAACATTTGAACAGTAGTGTATATTAAGAAAAGGTTTCGGTGCTCACCTGTTTTAGTGTTGGGTGCAATGCATTAAGTAATTAATTACTTTTCCCTTTAAAAAGTAAGGGATTTAATGGAATTTAATTCCAGTTACTTCTGATGTAATTGCATTAAATACTGTACAGACTACAGAACAATTCTATATAAAACAATAGTGAATTTAACATCAAAATGTAACATCTAATGTTAAAATGTATGCTTTTAATGTAACATTGTCCTTTTAAATACTTTGGTCAGTTGAAGAATAATTTATGCAATTTTATATAATTTTTTGAAAGGATTAAAAGAGCTCTTGTATTGTTCAACTGGTCGAGGTTGATATAGGATTTAGAAAGTAATAATTACTAATAAGTAATGCGATAGTTTTTAGAGAGAGTACTGAGTACAGTAATCCAATTACACTGTAGAAGATGTAATTAGAAGTGAGTAATTCATTTTTATTTACCCAACACTCTTTATAATTGTCTTTACTGTCACTTTAAATCAATTTAATGTGTGCATGTTGAATAAGAGTATTAATTTCTTTAAAAATAAAAATCTTCCGGACCCCAAACTTTTGTATATTGAGAAATATTTACCTGGTTTTAAACATGTGGCTTAGTTAGCTGGAGAGTGAACTGTGAATTGTACATTATTTACACGAGTCTCTCCAGCCGTCTCTTTTAATGCACAATTGAGTCATATAATGCGTTACACAACCTCACTACTGAAGCTCAGATACTTTCAGCTTCTGGGCTTTTCTGGAACGTTCTGGCAGCCTTTATTCCAACCCAACAGATGTGAGTTTTCTAAATCAGATGTGTGTGTGGGAGAGACGCGATTATGGTGCAGAGACTGAATGATGCTATCTGAATTAAATCTAATATCATTAGAGAGAATATAAACTACATATCAAAAGCAGTTTGTTTTATTCTTTAAAATATCATAGAAGTAACTGGTACACATTAAATGAGTTTAAAACTATTTCAAGAATGCTGTCTGTGTTTCAAAACCTAGTGAGCTGACTACCTAGACAGCATGTTTGCTTTTGAATATTTAAACACTTCTATGATGTCCAAAAATGCTGTCTAGGAAGGCAGCTCAAGTTTTGAAACACATGTTTGGTGTATGAAGGACAATGAATGAAAAAAAGAATCAATTATGAATTTTAAATAACTAAAATAACTTTTAGTTAAAGTTACATTACTTTTAAATAACTAAATACAATTATTAATAAATACAATAAATAATAAATAACATAACATTCCAAATTGACAAATAAAAGGTAATTATTTAATTATTTTTTTTTAATTTTATGAAATGTAACAAAAATGAATGAACTGAAATGCACTTTTATATCTTAAAAAAAATTGTCATTTGCATTTCGTAATCCATTTGCCACTCAAGTCTATTTATTTGTTAGTTAGTCTGAAAAGCTGTTTAAAATTTTTTTATTAATCCTTTACAAGCCAGAGAATTTTCTAAGTCACTTTTCACTGATCTATATTGATGTCAGGTTTATTATCGTTATATCATTATATACATATGTGTGTGTGTGTATATATATATATATATATACACAGTATATATATTAAATTTGTGTATGTAATTTACACTTACACAAATCCAAAATATTAATATAATTGTGCAACTATGATATTGAAATATCAATTATCTACAAAGGTCAAGCATGACGCATTGATACTGGTAGGTTTTTTTTTCTTGTAACATTGACAAACCATAAATAACTTTAATAGGTTTACGAGGAAAATACTGAACGTACACACACACTCGCACACACACAAACACACACACGCGTGTGCACGCACACACACGCACGCACACACAAACACACACACACACACACGCGCACACGCACGCACACACACACACACACACACACACACACGCACACACACACACACACACACACACACACGCACACACACACACACGCACGCACACACACACACACACACACGCACACACACACACACACACACACACACACACACACACCTGTAAGAGCTCCTTGGCAGAGCCTCTCTTCTCCACATCCATCTCCAGACAGCGGTTTAAGAAATCCCGGAACACGGATGAGAGTTTCTCTGGGTTCTGCAGCTCCGGCGTTCCATTGGTGGCGATGAGATACAGAGCCTGGACAACAGCAGGGGTTAAAGGTCACACAGAATTCATCTACATTAACTACAGCATCAGTTCCATTCATTAAAAAAAAAAAGCTATTTGAAATGTTCTTGTAGATCCCACATCATGATCAAATGGAAAACTATACAAAACCATCCAGAGGTTTCTTAAAAATATATGAACAGACAAAGCCCACTTTTGCCAATATTTATCTCACTGTTCTCACCACTGCTTCAGTATTTGTTTGCCACAAATTAACCACAGGTCTGTCCACAAATAGTTTTAGAAAATGTATTAAGATAAAAGCCTTTAAAGCTGATGGAGGTCGAAATCAATGTTGCATTCTGTCCTCCCACAAAGCATCAATCGATGAAATCAATGCAGTTTCCATCTGGAGAGCATCTGATGTTGCTCTCGTTCACATGAGGCCATATTTAAAATAATTCAATGATCTGAAACAAAGGGTGGATCTCAGCATCATCTTGAGATCACAAGTGAACAGCATTAGGTCTATATGTGCACCTGATCTTATGCAACAGCCTTAAAAGTCCAACTAATGCAAGCACACTTGTGACATCCCTTTATTTATTTATTTATTTATTCATTCATTCATTCTCAGTATTAGACATTTATTTATTTATGTATTTAATTTCTATTTTTCTATATGATTTTGTATGTAAAAAGCTAAATTTTATTAAACAATTAATTCAAATCAGGAACAGATACATTTATCAAATATTATATACATTTAGACTGTTTTATTTCACTTTTTAAATTAGACTATTTATTTATTTCTGAATCTATTATTTATTTTTTATAAATAATTTTGTGTAAAAAGCAAATAAATGTAAAAAATGTAAACAAACAATCAATTCAAATCAGAGACAGATATACATAATTATAAGTTTAAGTTTATTTCAGCTTTATTTAAATGACCAAAAATGACAAATACCCCAAGATTGCTGACATCCCAAGAAAAGATGATTATGAATATAGTTATATTCAGTATATACTAAATATAGTTGGACTGAATATATACTGCAGAAAATGGGAATTCTATTAAATTACAAATGTGCTATTTCACTTAACGTTTGTGTGTGCTGTGTATTATGCTTATTAAAGTATTTTGTTGTTAGGTTAGCTAACATCAAAATCTATTGGAATTAACGCCACTAATGAGCTCCTGCCTATGCAGACTGTTCCAAATCATTCACTTGTGAGGTTCCATTTCACTTAGGATGCTCCCTTAGTAGGCATCTAGACAGCAAGGCAGCTCAGTAGGTTTGGAATAATTCCACACTCACTTCCCGACAGACGGCGGCGATCTGCGGTTCATCCATACACGTCTCCGTCACCACGTCCGTCAGGGAGCCTCCGGCCAGATACTCCATCACCACCCACAGCTCGTCTCCCACCAGGTAACTATGGCAACAAGACCGCATCGTCAACACACGCCACATCTCTGAGTGATGCAGCAGCATCGCCGTGACAACAGAATCACTGGATGCTCCTGCCTTTATTAGTGCAGGCATGGAGAAACTCACCATGGACACAGAAAAACACATCAGAGCCAAACATGAAAACGCTGTTAAAGGCAGAGTAAGTGATTTCTGGTAGCCAATGTTGATATTTGAAATCACCAAAACAAACACGCCCCTACCCCAAAAGGGTCTTGCCTCTATTTTGATAGCTCCGCCCCACATATACGTACGCAACCCAGGCAACGATTAGTTCTGTGAAACAAAGCAAAACCAATGTTGCACCGTGTCTACGGACGTGAGCGGCGCGGCGCAACAAATCCCCGACAGAAAACTGCTGCCGGGTTCTATTTATGACGTGCTGACACAAATTTCAAATGGTTTTCAACGGTCGCTTTGTCACGTCCAGTGTAGGCAGACTTTAGCTGTTGTAGACACTGTTACTCACCTATCGAGAAGAAGCAAAGCAACCCCAGCGTCCAATCGCAGGCCTCCGCTCCTTCAGTTCTCTCCAGCGCTGGAAAGCTGATCCGATATTTACATGGGTCCTACTTCTTGCCTTATCGTTCCGACAGACATTTTCCTCTTTTGTTTTTATCTGCCATCTCTATCTTTCTGTCGCTCGGCTCGGCTAATGTCCGTCCCGTGCACTGAACGCTCTCTCCTCCACATCACAAGAAGACACGCCCCTTATTGCTGATTGGCAACAAGTTTGTTTTGCTATTCGGCCCGAATCAGTTTTCTAAAGTGTTTTCGAAAAATCACACACCCTGCCTTTAAAACCCGAATACGTCTTAGATGATGTTGCCACAACAGCGATGTCCTCATCACATCATTTTAATGTGACTTTTTTTCATTACAGACTCATATTCGTCTGATTTTCATTATCTTTAGAAACAAAATTGTTTAAGATCATCAGACTTGTTTTTAAAGAAAATATATTTTAAATTATTCATTATTATTTTTATTCATTATAATTTTAAATGTATTCTTTTTCTTGACTTACGCATAGTTGAGCAGATTTTTGGGAAGTTTGCAAAGTTTGTGCTTAAAACAAGAAAAAAAGCAGTTAAAAATACAAGAAAAAAATTTGTTCAAAATAAAATATAATGTTAAAAAAAAGAAAAAAGAAAATAAAAATCTAACAAAATCTAACAAAAAATAAAAGAAACTATGAAAGAAAAAAATATAAATATATAAAAAATAAACAGAAATATAACAAAAAACAAATGCAAAAGAAAAGAAAAGAAAACAAAAAGAAATAAAGAAAATATAATGTAAAAGAAAAAATAAAATAGCTAAAAAAAGGAAAATATTAAAAACAATTAAAAGAAAATAACAAAAAAGAAAAGAAAATAAATCAAGTAATAAATAGAAATATAACAAAATACAAATGCAAAAAAAGATAATATAACTTAAAAAAATAAACAAAGAATATAAGAAAATATAATAAAAAAAAAAAAAGAGACAAAAATACAAAAATGTACTTAGAAAACGAAAAAAGAAAAGAAAAATAAACCGGAACACATGGTACAGGAAGGTACAGGAAAACAAGACAAAACACTGATTAGGAAAAAGCTTAATCTAATGAACTGACCTGTCCAGGTAATTGACGATGTTGGGGTTCTTGTTTTCCCTCATGACTAAGATCTCGTTGATGATCAGCTCTTTCTTGGGCTGCTGCTGTAGATTCATCTGTTTGATGGCCACCTGAGAGACCAAACATCAGGATCAAAGCTTTCAGACACACTTGACGATGAATCCGAGATCTCTCCGTTAACATGAGTGAGGACTGGTTTGAGATGAGCTGTGTGTGTGTGCCGGTTCAGCTCTGAGGAATGCCATCAGATCAATATCCTATACCTGCATCCCCTGATTCACTGGTATCGATCAGCGAGAGCGGCGAAGTCTCTGTCAGAGGCATGTTAATGATGACGAGAGGTGCCCTCTATCAACCGGAAGAGCATGTGGAACTGAAAAGACTGTCGATATCTCCAATCGAGCTCTGATAAGCATTCTCCAAATGCTGCCAAATGGCATATTTGCTATGCAATTTCAGAAAATGTACAAAATATAAGAGCAACAACAGCTAAAGCTAATAGAGAAGGTGTTTGGGTGGTAGAAGGACATTGCTGGGACCCAGTTGCTAGAGTGTTCTGGACAGTTGCTTATTTATAAAATGATGGTTTCTTACTGGACTGCCTTCCAATAGTGCATGCAAGTTTGAAAATGATATAACGTATAACATAACGTATAACATCCCATAACATAACATAACAACATATATCATGTTATTAGTAGTAGTAGTAAATCATTTTATGTTTTGATTTTATTGTAGCTGTAATTAAATTTCTTTAAAAATCTGAATATATTCTCTTTTTATTTTATACAATATGTTTAAATCAACAACCCTATGGGCTATGAGTTTGGAAAGTACTGACCTCATGACGTTCTATTTTAAGCATCATATTTGCTGGACAAACATCACTTAATGTGCAATACATCATGCATGTGCTAATGCTGCTTTAACACCCATTAGGACATATACAATTAATAAAATTTGATATTTTACAGGTAAACAAAACAGTAAATAGTTATATATAATTTTTTTGTATTTTATTTTATTTTAATAATGGTATTATTTGAAGAAGCAGTAGTAAATAATTTTTAAAATAATTGTATGCTGTTTTTAATTTACTGCAGTAAGAAACAAAATTAAAGTAGTAAACTTAATAAAAAAAATATTCTCTGAATATATTATTTTATACAATAGGTTGTTTAACTCCATAACCCTATGAGCTATAATAATAATAGTGTTACTTGCCTTATAGTGGAGATCGTGTAAGTATTGATCTCATGATATTCTATTTTAAGCATGACATTTCTTGGACAAACATGATTTAATGCATGCAACACGTCATGCATGTGCTGATTCTGAATGTTGTTTTAACACCTGTAAGGAAGTGTTCTGGTGTCATACTGCAGATGAGCAAACACGCATCTAGCTGACATCTGTATGAGAAACACGTCTCACCTCTTGTCCCGTGGCGATGTCTATGGCTGTGTAGACCGTTCCAGATGCCCTGATGAGGGACGGAAATGAAGATCATGATTGTTTGAAGACTGTGAGATCTAGCATAAACAATAAGACACCCATCATTAAACTCACCCCTGGCCAATCTTCTCAAATCGCGTGTACTTCTTCTTCGGGTCGCCCACGCTGACTATACTTCCTGTGGAGTGGAGGTCACATGTTATTTCAAGAAAAACAAAACGCTACAAAAAATGAAAACTGAAGAGACACAGATGGGGGGAAGAGGCAGCTGTTTAAAAGACGAAGTAAAGGAATGAAAATGCAGTGTTTCAGGATTGTGAGAGAGCTGCACAACGAATCGAATTTAAGTAATATGACCTTGTGCCATTATTAAACTGGAGATTAGATGGAGGTGTTTGTTTATTTATTTACTTTTTTTAAATCAGTCAAAATAAAGGCTCAAGGCTAGTCTAGGCTGCCTTACAATAGTGCATGCAAGTTGAAAAATTAACCTAATTTTATATATATACAGTATATATATATATATATATATATTTTTTTTTGTACGATTATTATATACGATTATTGAAGTGCAAAAATACAAGAAATATATATATATATATATATATTTTTTTTTTTTTGTACGATTATTATATACGATTATTGAAGTGCAAAAATACAAGAAAATTTTGTCTTCTATTTTATTGCAATAAGACATATAAACTTAAAATTAAAAAGTTGATTTTACATTTATAATAAAAAAATATAACTTTAAAAAGAAAACAAAAAGAAAAGAAATAAATATAATGTAAAAGAAAAAAGAAAATAGCAAAAAAAGGAAAATACAACAAAAAATTTAGTCTTATTTTCTAGTCTTATTTTATTGCAATAAGAAATATAAACAAAATTAAAAAGTAGATTTTACGTTTTTAATAAAAATATTCTTAAGCAAATATATCTTTAATTTTTAATACTTTAAGGATTATATTTATAAAAAGTTATACAATTAATAAAATTATATATATTACAGGTAAACAAAATACTATTTAGCACAATTATATTATATGCTGCTTTTCTTATTTTATTTTTTCATATTTTTTATTTTATTTTACTTCTTCTCTTCTCTTCTCTTCTCTTCTCTTCTCTTCTCTTCTCTTAGTAGCTGGGTTCCAAACAAACAATGTGAATGAAATATTAATTGAGGCATGAGCTCTGCTCAACTTCGTCACATTGCTTGTGTTTTGCTGGAAATCACGACAGGCCTCGCTTGCTAGTTCTTTTCAAATGCTTTGTTCTTTTAGTCTTTCACTATGCCTTTTGTTAAATATACAGCCTATCTAAACTTAAAATTAAAAAGTTGATTTTACATTTATAATAAAAAAATATAACTTTAAAAAGAAAACAAAAAGAAAAGAAATAAATATAATGTAAAAGAAAAAAGAAAATAGCAAAAAAAGGAAAATACAACAAAAAATTTAGTCATTCAGTCTAGTCTTATTTTATTGCAATAAGAAATATAAACAAAATTAAAAAGTAGATTTTACGTTTTTAATAAAAATATTCTTAAGCAAATATATCTTTAATTTTTAATACTTTAAGGATTATATTTATAAAAAGTTATACAATTAATAAAATTATATATATTACAGGTAAACAAAATACTATTTAGCACAATTATATTATATGCTGCTTTTCTTATTTTATTTTGTTTCATATTTTTTATTTTATTTTACTTCTTCTCTTCTCTTCTCTTCTCTTAGTAGCTGGGTTCCAAACAAACAATGTGAATGAAATATTAATTGAGGCATGAGCTCTGCTCAACTTCGTCACATTGCTTGTGTTTTGCTGGAAATCACGACAGGCCTCGCTTGCTAGTTCTTTTCAAATGCTTTGTTCTTTTAGTCTTTCACTATGCCTTTTGTTAAATATACAGCCTATCATGTTGCGGCTTGTAATTGGAGGCAAATATTTGTCCAAATAAACGGCATTGATTTTTTTCCATATCAAGCAGCTGTTTGTGAGAATCATGTCCCTCACAGTGGTCACGTATCAGAAGAGGGATGCTCAGCTATAAGACACAATCGTCTGTTACTCAAACAGTCATGAACTGAGATCAGACACATGCTGTGAAGGAAAGCACACGATCGTTTCCAGTCAAAACATGTTGAGCAATGAGAGAGACGGGGAAGAAAAGGCCTCTAAACCCTTAGGAAAAGACAGAGTTACAGGCAGTGAGGTAACAGAGGCTTGGAAAACACAGAAAGGAAGAAGGCCGAGTTCTGATCAGAGTTTTACGACGTCTTAAATTCAGGGAAAGACAGGAACATCTTCAGCTTGATGTGTAACCCGGCAGACTATTGATGAACGGCCGTTTTAAATGGTGGACGACAAATCTTTGGCCAAGAGGGGCCTGAAGTGACAGAGCGGGGCAGGAGAGACACACTGGATGACTGCAGCAGCATCCCGTTCTTACCAGCTGAGGGCGATCTGAGCACGTCTGGAGCATATGGGGTTTTTAATAAGATACAGGTTCTTAGAAAGTCATGCATCTCTAGAGCAGCTCAAACTAAATGACTGGGAATCATTTCATGCTAAATAATAACAATGCATATAAAATAAAAGAATAACGAGAATAAAATAAGGCAACGCAAGAAATAAGCATGGCATGAACGACTCGATCAAGAGATCAAAGCAGGTTTGAATTTTTCCAAAAATAAATACATCACACATATTTGATATGTCAGGAATAGTGTGCAGCCAGCCGGTCATTAACATAAAATAAACCTTGAAAGTGTGATCTGGGGTTTAGCAATAATCTCTGGCTGACTGCACATTACCCTGCTTATTACAGGGCTACTTACTAAATAAATAAATCACTGGACATGAAATATTGATTTGTATGTAAATTATTATCACATGGGAAAAAGAGACCTGAAGAGAGAATAGCACAGCTATGCTTTGGATGGATTAAATACATATACTCTAAAAAATATATATATATAGTATAAATGCATCATTAATACATATTTTATTATTGTTATCTGCCATTTTTAAAAATACACTAATCAGAACTTTGGGGTTGTAAAGAAATCTCTTCTGCTCACCAAGGCTGCATTTATTTTAAATATATATATTAAAAATAGTAAAAAAGTTGGTATATTATTATACATTAAAATGAGTATGAATATAAAATGAATATATTTTAAAATGTAATTTATTTCCATGTCCCTCACAGTGGTCACGTATCAGAAGAGGGATGCTCAGCTATAAGACACAATCGTCTGTTACTCAAACAGTCATGAACTGAGATCAGACACATGCTGTGAAGGAAAGCACACGATCGTTTCCAGTCAAAACATGTTGAGCAATGAGAGAGACGGGGAAGAAAAGGCCTCTAAACCCTTAGGAAAAGACAGAGTTACAGGCAGTGAGGTAACAGAGGCTTGGGAAACACAGAAAGGAAGAAAGCCGAGGTCTGAGCAGAGTTTTACGACGTCTTAAATTCAGGGAAAGACAGGAACATCTTCAGCTTGATGTGTAACCCGGCAGACTATTGATGAACGGCCGTTTTAAATGGTGGACGACAAATCTTTGGCCAAGAGGGGCCTGAAGTGACAGAGCGGGGCAGGAGAGACACACTGGATGACTGCAGCAGCATCCCGTTCTTACCAGCTGAGGGCGATCTGAGCACGTCTGGAGCATATGGGGTTTTTAATAAGATACAGGTTCTTAGAAAGTCATGCATCTCTAGAGCAGCTCAAACTAATCATTTCATGCTAAATAATAACAATGCATATAAAATAAAAGAATAACGAGAATAAAATAAGGCAACGCAAGAAATAAGCATGGCATGAACGACTCGATCAAGAGATCAAAGCAGGTTTGAATTTTTCCAAAAATAAATACATCACACATATTTGATATGTCAGGAATAGTGTGCAGCCAGCCGGTCATTAACATAAAATAAACCTTGAAAGTGTGATCTGGGGTTTAGCAATAATCTCTGGCTGACTGCACATTACCCTGCTTATTACAGGGCTACTTACTAAATAAATAAATCACTGGACATGAAATATTGATTTGTATGTAAATTATTATCACATGGGAAAAAGAGACCTGAAGAGAGAATAGCACAGCTATGCTTTGGATGGATTAAATACATATACTCTAAAAAATATATATATATAGTATAAATGCATCATTAATACATATTTTATTATTGTTATCTGCCATTTTTAAAAATACACTAATCAGAACTTTGGGGTTGTAAAGAAATCTCTTCTGCTCACCAAGGCTGCATTTATTTTAAATATATATATTAAAAATAGTAAAAAAAAGTTGGTATATTATTATACATTAAAAGGAGTATGAATATAAAATGAATATATTTTAAAATGTAATTTATTTCTGTGATGCAAAACTGTATTTGCAGCATCATTACTCCAGTCTTCAGTGTCACATGATCTTCAGAAATCATTCTAATATGCTGCTTTGCTGCTCGAGAAACATTTCTGATTATTATCAATGTTGAAAACAGTTGTGCTGCCCAATATTTCTGTGGAAACTGTGATACGTTTTATTTTTCAGGATTCTTTGATGAATAGAATGTTAAAAAGAACAGCGTTTATTTGTTACTTTATAAATGTCTTAACTGTCCCTTCTGATCAATATAATGCATCTTTGCTGAATAAGTATTAATTTGTTATATATATATATATAACAAAAAATATTACTGACCCCAAAATTGTGAATGGTAGTGTACTGTATATCACTCACAATGCGCTCTACAAACATAAACATGACCTCTGACCCTTGAGCGTCTCAGGTGTGGACACTTACGCAGTTTCTCGAGTATCTCCTCGTCGGTCATCTTCTTCTTGCGTGTTTTGTCGGTGTTTTGTGGAGTGGAGGGTGTCGGGGTGCTGGTGGTGCTGGCGGTGGCGGAGGTGGTGGAGGGTGTCAGGGTGGGACTGCCGCTGTCAGCGGCCACATTAGTGATGGGTGACGTAGCGGCGTCTTTGGTGGAGAGTGGAGGAGGGAGAGGGTCGATAACGGAGCGCGTGTAGATCTGTGGGGAGACGACGACATATTAGCAATGGATCAAATAAAATAAAAATATTTTTAATCAAATAAAATTAAATAAATAAATAGGTTAAAAAGATTCAATTAAAAAGAGTGAAATTAAATTAAGTACAATTAAAAAATCATAAATATATATAATTAATATGAAATAGCTGTGACGCGTATTAAATTTCCTACTCTTTTCTTAGAAGATTACTTTACAGCACTGGGGTTGGGCTTACGTTCTTTAATTCATTTTGGAGACAAAAAACAGCACAAACAAGCAGCCAAAGAGCTGAAGTGTGCAGTCAGAAGTTGATTCACTACAGTGACACCATGGAAACTGTGTACAGCAGCGTCCATCCTGATACTCATTCAGAGAGAAAAACACAGAAAATACTGTTCTTTACTTTTAACCTCAGAACAAACACAAGCTTTGTGTGCAAAGGGTTAATAAAACACCAGTACAACACGAACAGATGAAGATCAGAGCATCAGCTTTCTGAATATCCCCATTTCACAACAACGTTAAGACACATACTGTATGAAAATAAGTTAGTCTGAAAAGAGTGTTAAATAAAACAGCGTTTTTATTCTGAACTACAACTATTAAAATTTGTTTCAATTGTTTGTTAACTGAAACAAAGCTGAAAAATTAAATAAAAGGAGTAAAACTAAAAATCTGCCTTGACAAAACAAAACAAAACAAAAAACAAAATAAAATAAAATAAAATAAAATAAAATAAAAAACAAAACAAAACAAAATTAAATAAAATGAAACAAAATTAAATAAAATTAAATAAAAATTACATTTAGTTTTAGGTGTAACAACTAAAACTAAAGAAAAATTTAAATGAAAACTAGAAAAAAAATGTATTAATTAAAAAAATATATATATTTTCGATTAAATAAAAAAAAGTCCCAATACATTTTCACAAAACATATTTTGGACACTAAGCCGCACTCCAACATTTCTCAGAAACAAGATTATTATTCTTTTTTTTCCTCCCAATGACTTACGCTCTGAGTGAAGTTTTCCATATTTATCCTCTGTTTTCTCTATAATATTTTGGCAATTTTGGCAATTTTTAGTGAACACGGTAACATGAGCTCAAAGTTATCAGACATGCACTACAAGCCGCCTGTGGCCACTACAGCCGTAAAGAGCAGCGTCATGTGTGTGAGTGTGTGTGTGAACACATTACAGGACATCATTCATCTCCTCTGACCTAATGAGGGTGAAACCCCTTCACATCAAAACCACACATGAATGAGCCTTGATGGAGCATCTTTAATCATCTGGGCACCTAGAAGCCTGATCCAGTGATCTCCAGACAGATGAAAGGAAGGTAACGAGGTTCAAACACATACACACACACACATACACACTCCTGTAATAAAGCTCTAGTCACCTACCCCCGCTCTGAACACATGCATATTTATTCTGTAATTACAGGTTAGCTTGGAGGCGTCTAGAGTCAGAAACTCATTATTCCAGACTACAGACCGGACTGTCACGTATCTGCATCTGCCAGCCAACACCCACAACACCTAAAACACCTTACAACTGTCTGTCTTGTTTAACCAGCCACCAACCACAATAACCTACTAACCACTTCAAAACTACTCAGAACACCTTAGCAACCGCCTAGAAACTAATAACCACAACCACTGTCTGTTGGTCTGTCTAGCAACCAACCACAATAACCTCCTAACTACCTAGCAACCACTCAGAATACATTAGCACCACTCTAGGAAACACCTTAGCAACTGCATGTCTGTCTGTCTGTTTACCTAGCAACCTTTCACAATAATCTACTAACCAAGATTATTATCGTTAATTCAAACTAAATCTATTAAAAATATTTGGTTTATTTAAATAAAGCTGCAATAAAACAAAACTAATATTAGATAAAAATCTTAAATGAGAAATGTTGCCTTGAAATAAGTTTCAGTTGAAGACTGAAAATTACTAACTGGAAATAAAAAATTAAATAAAAATGAAACTAAAACTGAAATAAAAAAATTAAACCAATATATTAATATTTAAAAATAAAAATCTTAAAATAAAAGCTAATCACCTTTGCAACCACCCAAACATAAGGCCTAAACAAAATTAACTCAATTTGTTTTTTAATTTCCCGTAAGCATTTAAGCCAACATCTCAAAGTGAGTCTTTGCATTTTATTTTACACCCATTATTTAATTTGCACTAGTGTTATTTTACTTTTCCACTTCTTGACAAAATGAAAGTAGAATTTTGTCATGCCTATAAAGCATATTAAACTCAATCCGAGAGCGAAAGAGAGACTTATCTCTCAAACTTCTAATATCTAAAACTTAAATCAAACGAAATTAGAACTGTTGCCTTGGCAACTAACTGAAATAAATTAAAGCTGACAAACTAAAATTACAAACTGGAAATAAATAAAAATTAAATGTAAAAAAATTAAACCTATATGATAATATTTAAAAGCAAACAAATTGCTAAAAATTACACTTACAAAACTTACATTATACAATCAAAAATTTAACTTAAAAATACATTTCATAATTATTTAATAAATAATTAATTCATGAAAATAATTAATAAATAAATAATTAACTATAAAAAACTATACTAGTATATAAATCATATACAGTGGGTACGGAAAGTATTCAGACCCCCTTAAAATTTTCACTCTTTGTTATATTGCAGCCATTTGCTAAAATCATTTAAGTTAATTTTTTCCCTCATTAATGTACACACAGCACCCTATATTGACAGAAAAACACAGAATTGTTGACATTTTTGCAGATTTATTAAAAAAGAAAAACTGAAATATCACATGGTCCTAAGTATTCAGACCCTGTAGGTCTGAGCTGTAAGGTCTTATATAGACAGGTGTGTGGCTTTCCTAATCAAGTCCAATCAGTATAATCAAACACAGCTGGACTCAAATGAAGGTGTAGAACCATCTCAAGGATGATCAGAAGAAATGGACAGCACCTGAGTTAAATATATGAGTGTCACAGCAAAGGGTCTGAATACTTAGGACCATGTGATATTTCAGTTTTTCTTTTTTAATAAATCTGCAAAAATGTCAACAATTCTGTGTTTTTCTGTCAATATGGGGTGCTGTGTGTACATTAATGAGGAAAAAAAATGAACTTAAATGATTTTAGCAAATGGCTGCAATATAACAAAGAGTGAAAAATTTAAGGGGGTCTGAATACTTTCCGTACCCACTGTATATACACCCTGGAAAACACTTAAAACACCTTAGCATTTGATCCCTTAACATTGGCCCATGTAAGTAAATACTCACAGATTTGGTGTGTTCGGGACGGGGTGCGACGATGGGTGGAGGCGTGGCTTCATCCTCATCATCATCCTCAGAAACGGTGGCCACGGCAGGGGTCTCGGAAACGGTCTTGGAGTTCTGCGGAGCGTCAAACAAGCCGAGCAGGAAGTGAGGCTGACCGACTGACATCACAACATGAGGGCAAAACAAACCTAACGCCAACATGCCAACCACGAGAGCAGCGCTGACCGCATTCAACCCTCCCGCCGGCCTCACCAGCTGACCCCATACACCACAACTAAAACTTCACTCCCCATCTTGCTTTGCATCTAACCTGATTCGGTCTGAGCTACGGATACGGCACAACTCAGCAGGAGAACTGGACGAAAAAGATGCTGATTCACAGTGCAGAGAGAGAGAGAGAGAGAGAGAGAGAGAGAGGGAGAGAGATGAACCCGCTGGCACAGCCTCGAGTGGCTGGCATCAGTTCTGTCCTTCTGTTGAGTGGGCAGCTCTTATGGGACTCTGTCACCTTGTTGTTCACTGCACCCCCCCCCCCAAGCAAACTTTCTCCCGTCCCGTCATCTGTCACGTGAGCTGAGGGAACATTTCTCCATATTCCCCTCCTGACCTCAAACGCTTCTCTGTGTGTCACAGATAAACCTGGAAAACACAGTCGGACATCACAATGACTCACCACTGCGTTGGAAGAGCTGTAGCTATCCGCACCTTTATCTGAAATTAAAAACAGACGAATGAGAAATGAGAAAGAGACATAGAACTAATCTATAGACAACATATCACTGACATTGTTTTTTCAACTGCTGATTTATAATGGATTTGGTGGCTGATATAAAGCCACTGACAGTGGCGTACCTTTTTTTTAAAAAGTGGGTGGGACAGGAGTGTGTGTGTGTGTGTGTGTGGTGGTGTGTGTGTGGTGGTTAATGTATCGACACTAGAACTCATTTTTAACGTGATAGTTTCATTCTTACATGCACTATAATAAAATATATTATTAGGCCCGAGATTCTTCACATCAGTGAATAAATACATAGATATGCAATAAACAATCGCATTTCTAAACAGTCTAGTGGTAGAATTTTCGTTAGGCGTGTTCTAATCTGCCCTCGCATTTTTTTCCCCCCTTATTATAATCAAAAATGTTCATCAGTGATTGTATATCAAGAGCAGGGAGCAGGGTATTTTGTTTTGTGATTTAACTGGAATAAATACTGTATATAGTCTCTGCAACGTCATTAAGCGATAAATTGAAGCGCTCGTGTGTAAAGAGAACGTTCCGTCACTAATAACATCACAACGAACATTTCAAAAACAACATAATACAGCGCCAGATCACATCTTATTTAAAAGAAAAGAATGACAGCTGGATATGTTTCATCTGCATTAGGTATAAAATACACATACAATATTAAATATATATATATAATATATAAATATATACATAAGATATAATATATAAAATGTAATTGTATAAATTGATATATACACACACACACACACACATATATATATATATACAGTGGGGCAAAAAAGTATTTAGTCAGCCACCAATTGTGCAAGTTCTCCCACTTAAAAAGATGAGAGAGGCCTGTAATTTTCATCATAGGTATACCTCAACTATGAGAGACAAAATGAGAAAAAAAATCCAGAAAATCACATTGTAGGATTTTTAAAGAATTAATTGGTAAATTCCTCGGTAAAATAAGTATTTGGTCACCTACAAACAAGCAAGATTTCTGGCTCTCACAGACCTGTAACTTCTTATTTAAGAGGCTCCTCTGTCCTCCACACGTTACCTGTATTAATGG